CTGTCATAAGTCTTACAGGTGCAGAAAGAGTCTTCTATGCAAATGCCAAAACTGTGGGATAAGATGTGCCTGCTTCATTCTGCCATGCCTTCACAGATGGCTGTGCTTTATTAACGAGGTTTATAAAGAGCAATGCTTTGCAGGGCCTCACCTTGCTGTGATGCAGCTAGCAATTTTAGGAGGAGGTTCTGGCCACTGTATAGCTGTTGTACCGCTACTTGAAGTAGTCTGCCTTTTCTCAGGTGAGCCATGGATTTCACATCCTGGACTAACGAAAATCTCTCCTTCCTCCAGCCCCCTAAAAAATATCAAGTTGTACGTGATTTTCAGGAAGAGAACAGATGGGAGAGATGCACAGAAGGCCACCGTGCAGCACTGTGATGTCTTGCCTCTTACCCTTAGCAGAATTGTTGTAGTTGTGTTAGATAGTAGGACTTGTGCTTCTTTTGGACTTGGACTTCATCATCTGGATGTGCCAGCTCGGGCTGATGACATCACATCTGTTTCCACACTAAACAAATATCTGTTCAATGCACTGTTGTGTTTGTCCCGTTGTCAGCATGGTAACCAGTTGCAGGTTTTTTTCCTTACGCTCAGCTTTAAGGCTGTTTCCAACCTTTCAGACAGTCTTGTACAGGTCAATGATGAAACTAGTTTCATGTTAAAAAAACAAACAAAACCAAAAAGCCCAACGCCAAGCCTGATTTTTCTGAGCTAATGGATGTCACAGCTTGTAACTGGAGCATCGCAGTACAAAAAGGAACAAAGAGAGCAGATTTTATTACTGTGATGATGCATGGTGCTTCCAGCTGCAGCAGAGCAATCCCCATCTGCCTGCTTTCAGGTTCTGCTTGCAGAGCTGTCACCCAGTCCCTGTTGTCTCTCTTGCTTCCCTGCTCCAGTTTTCATTTTTCTCCCCTCCCATTTTGTTTACCTCTTGTCCCACCCTCCCATTTCCCAATCTCTTTGCCTCTGGCAGTCTCAGAGGCGCAACTCCCAGAGTGCTGATTAATCTCTTTACATTAACAAGTCACAGATTCAATAGCAGGAGTTGGAACTCTATCAGGCATTGGAGAAGACTCTGACCTTCATCCTGGACTGCTTTGGCCCAACTCAAACATGCCAGAAAGGAGGAGATGCAATTGATTTAGTGCTTCCCACCTGTTAGCCTGGATGGTTCACTTCAGAACCATGACAATTTCTGTAACCCTACATTTGAGCAGTCTCTTGTGACGCTTATCATTTTACAGGCCATGGTGTGTTTACTGGAATGAGGTCATGGAGGACACCGAGACTTCTGCACGAATGTGTAGAGGTGCATGTTTACAAACAGTTTTGTTGCACAAAATCTGTGAAACATGGTCTAAACGTTAGTGAAATGAAACCAAAATATATAATCATATAATTAATACAAGTGCAAAATCTAATTTTTAACCTGCAGTCAGCGGACCTCACGCCATAGAAATACCAGCAAGGGGGAACCATATGGAACTTTCATACTGTCTCAGTATATCCTGAAGTTCCTCATTTCACCAGTTCAGCTGCAGAGTTCTTAGATAAATGTATGCGCATCTGTGTTTCTCTGTGCGATTGACTGTTTCATCTGGAATCCTAAGATGTGCTGTTGGTGGTCTTTGGCAAGCTGGCTAGTCGTGTCCTGCTCTGCAAAATGGAGAAAAGACTCTATTTATGGTCTAGTTTGTCATCTTTAAGTTAAGCAACAGAAGATTTCAATCTCTCATGGACCTTTTGAGCTGACTCTATCTTAACAGAGCAGTCATCGGTTT